AAGAAAGGCAGCAATGACTTCTAACTACTGTTAGTACTTGCAGTCATGGCAAACTGCATGATGAGCAGATATGGGGAAAGGGCATAATTAGACAGTAAAAAGGAAGAAAATGTTACCGAAAGCTCTCACAGAGTTTGTCAGTACAGACCCTCATTCTCTTGAGCTTCCTTTGAATCCAAGGACTTCTCTGAGCATCAAAAGTGGATGACTTAACAGCAAAAATATTCTTTACTGTAAAAGACTGGAAACCTCCGAGGTGATTCCCAGCCTTTCACCCTTCCCTCCTCCCCCCACCAGGGCGAGACCACATAAAAGAAACGAGGGACAGCTGGGACCAAAGACACTTAGGTATCTCTGAACATTTGGCTCCCATGCAGGGACATTGACCGCAGATTACAACGCGTATGACTCACTGATGGCAAAGAGACTTCCAATATTCTAGCAGTATCTGATGGAAAGCTGTTTTTGGAAGGAGGGAGCCTTTGAACATAACAAGCAAAGTTCATCTCGACTTTTTATTAACTTTGGCACAGTCACAAGCTTTCTCACGAAGTAAACTGGTTTTATTTATCAACCCAAACCAGATGAATAGTTTCCTTGATTTTTCTTCCTGGCAACTCCAAGTTTCACCAAGCAATACCACAGTATCTCAGGCTAGCTACAGCGCAGGTAAACACTGGTTCAAGCTCTCAGACACCCCCCACCCCAACAAGTACAGTCACAAAACCAAGCTTCTTTGTACACCCAGCATAGCTACTTTATGCCTTTCTGCTTCTCCCTCAAATTAAAACTTGATAATAAATGTGAAGAGCCAAAGATCTGCTGGAACATGAGACATCAGAAGGACAAAAATCAGCTAAATGACACAGAGGTTAGAAGAAAACTGCTGATAATAAAAAGACATTTGTTATCAAGGATGTTTGCTGCAAGGGAGAAAAACAAACAGCTGTGCCCAGAAGAAAGGAAAATTTTAACCAACTAGCTACATCATATTAAACCAAGACTATTTTTATTTGGTCCAATTAATAACTCTGTTTTACTAGTTTCTGTAGTTACTTTAATAAGAAGCAAGGTAAAGCAACTAATGCTACTTGCTCGTCAGTGACAGGAATACATTCAGAGTAATTTATATGGAAAGAGCTAGAGCTAAACTGTGTCCGACAATGTACCTTTTTTATAAAAAGGTAAGCACCACCCAGACTATTTATGAAATACTTGTTGAGACTAAGAGGCAATGGAACAGGAATGATCATCTTGTGAAAAAATGATAAAAAGTAATTTCCTTAGTGTTTTATTATTCAAGAAAAAAAAAACAAAACAAAACAAGAAGAGGACACAAAGTGTCCATTCACTTTAAAATTAATACAACATTTTGATGTGGGGCTGTGCATGCCTGACTTTTACAGGACAAAGTCTATAAACATTGATTTCACAGTACAGGCTTTAGTTCATTTATATGCATCAGTGCATGAGCCACTGCAGAGCATAAGCCCACCACTACTTTCAGTTCAATATTTGAAGTATGCTCTGGAAATAAAATGCAGTAGAAAATTATGTTGTGTCTCAGCCTTCCCTTACCTCAGCCTTGTCATTCTGAAAGCCTAGCAGACATTGGATGTCAGTGAAAATCAACTTTTCCAACCTTTTTTAACACACTGATACTGAACTCCACAGCTACACAATGATCATTCAGAAGTTTATAGCTTGCTAATATCATTTAAATAGCCAAATATTTACACAAGTGTCAATACAGGATGCAGTTTTAATCTTCCAATGCTTCATTAAATTATCAGTCTGAAAGAACTTGCAAATGCAAAGGGATGATAAACAAACACCCCTCTTATAGGCAACAGTCAAGTGTGATACCACTTCATTTATTATTTGCTTCCAGAACTGTACCTATGAAGTCAGGTTATTTTTGAATACAGAGGTAAAAATGTCATCATCAACACTGTAGTCTCACATTTACAATGTCAGTTAACATCAGATACAGCATTTCCATTCAGAATTTTTAAGACATGACATAATAAATAATGTCCATCAATAAATACGGAGATTATAGCATCTGGAGAAGTACGTATAACAACCTCTTACTAGTAGCGCGACATCATTCAGCTAAACATAAAAAGTCACAAAGTTAAGCCACAGTATGATAATTAGAGCATAAAGACTTTTGCTTT